CTTCAAAGCAATCACTCCCCATGGTTTGCTTATAACATGGTCATACAATTCCAGGTGTTTATTTGCAGCAATGGCTTCAATGATCTTCTTCACACTAATGGCTATTGTAAAATTGGATGAGCCACCGACTATTATATCAATAAGCTTCTTTATCTTTATTCTGAGGCCATTTACAAACATATGCATTTGTTCTGTTTGGTCCATGTTATGAATGGGACACGCTACCAATAACCTCTTGAATATCTTAAAGGTATCACCTGGTGAATCTCCTTATTTCTGCTTAAAATTCACAATGTCATATCTTTTACAAATATAAATAGAAGCATGAAAGTATTCGTCAAGAAAAGCCTTCTCCATCTCTTCCCAAGTATTAATACTCCCAGCAGGTAATGAGTAAAACCACTCTTTAGCATCTTCAGATAAGGTAAAGAAAACATTCTTAGTTTCTATGCTTCATCCGTATGCCCATCAATCTTCAAGGTGATACTCATGGTCAATAATATCTTCAAGTGTTTATTGGCATCTTCGCTGACCTTTCCAGCGAAAGATCTTCTCTCAAGCTGAGTGATTATGCTCGGGAGCAGTTGAAAATTAGGCACATTCACCGAATGGTTTACAATTGTCAACCTGCCACCTGGTGCATTTGCACCACCATAATTACCAAGAAGTCTCCGTGGTGGATCTCCAACCATAATTTCTTCCTGACTCTGAATATGAATGGACATAGATGTTCTCTTCTGTGGAGTCTAATCTTTCTAATCTATCTTGTCTGAGTCTTGCGTGCAACGTTCTCTTGATTTCTCCTCGCATAAAAATATTAGACCCAGATTAGTAGTAACAGAACAAAAATAAAAAAACAATAAAACTGAAAATAAAGTTTTAGTTACGACCATTAAAATTTAAATTGAACAAGAATTGAAACACTATAATTTTGCAGTCTCCGGCAACGGAGCCAAAAACTTGATAGTCAAAATAGCAACTGTACTATTTTGCCAATGTAGAAATAGTAGGGAAATTTCCCGAATATCGATCTCAAGAACTGCATATAAGTACCGAGTTTAATGTGTAGTTAAATTAAACAAAAACTTAATGTTTAGTTTGGGTTAGAGTTTATCCTTTTAATTATAAAATTAAGCAGAATATAAATTATGGTTTTTTTAGTAATATGAGTACTATGCTAGGTGTGAATGTGTGATTTTCCCTATAACGACCTTGAATCTTGATTTCTTCAACAAGTTCATAACATTCAACTACCAGCCCTTTAGATTATTTCCCCTAAGTCCTTAGTGAGAAAACCTTTGACCATTCATCATAAACCCTAAGTCCTTAGAGATTTTTGATGGAGTCAAGCCTTTGTTTTATCAAGGGTTAATCGATAACTATAGGGTATCCCTAGTCTTAGGTAATATCCACTATAGTCTAATAATACAAAAACCTTAACAATCGCGGTCCAGCTGGTTATTAACTGTAAATTAATTCTAATTGGTTCGATCAGGAAAGCATAAAAATGTTGCATGATTAAATTGAATAATAAAAACCATGTAATTGAGAAAATCAGAAATTCAAAGTCATTACGGATTCAAATCAGGGACACCCCATAGCATTGATGGGTTTAGTTGTTCATATTGTTCACGAGAATTCAAAAATATAAGATTAAGACATTACAAATGATGAAGGAACTTTGGTCTTCAATCGCGTCCACTCGTGAAAGATCTCTGTTATTCAAGAATCTCTTATGCTTACTCCTAGACTCTGGAATTCATTGTTTTCAAAAAAGGTCCGTCATTTGGTTATCAAAACTCTATCAAATAGTCAGAATCAATTGTTCCCGGTCCGAAATGTCCAAAACGCCCTTATGGGTCTCACTTAGAGTCAAATAGAAAAGAAAAAAAAACTCAGGGTTTGGACCAACATGGCCCGTGTCAGGTGACACGGTAAACCATGTTCGTCATCTGTCCATTCCCTAAGAATATTTGAGTCTCAGCATGGCTGACACGACCCGTGTTGTCTGACACAGGTGGCCATGTTAGCACTCTGGTTTTTTCTCATCATGTTCTCCTCTGCCTGACATGGCCCGTGTCAGGTGACACGGGAGGCCGTGTTAGGCTTGCTGAAACTTCTCTAAAACCTCTGATTTTTTGACTTTTTTTAGTAATGAGTACATAAGATCCTTCACCTAAACCTGAAACAGGCGCAACAACCAACAAAAGCATAAAACAAGAAATAACTTAAAATAAACTTAAGAAAACATAAAATGCGGAGAAACTAAAGAAACATATAGTCAACTCAAGCGGTAACGGAATACGACACAAAGCAATGCATAATACCTGAATTATCGTCAGATAAGTGACAAACACATAGTGAAAATGGTGACCGATAACCCCTCAATGCCTCTCGAGAGCGTATTCTGACAGAATGCGCTAATTAAGAATTCAAGCAAGTCGGGGTGCGCTTTCCTCACCAGACACCCGCCAAGCCCGGGACATATAAAAGCAAGTATTGCAGGTTCCTCAAGAGCCACGAGCACAACACCGATGATTGTATCCACCTCAAAGATGCAATTGAGATACTCATCTGAGACGGGAAACTCAAAAAGTATAACAAGAAGGACAATGGCCACGAGGAGGCTCAAGAAACCAAGAACGTCGAAGAAGGGAAGTCCCCGAACGCCAACACCATTCTGATCGTGATGAGCATCACAAGACCTAAAGATTTATATTTTCCCGACATGGAAGAGGTCCCACTGTATTTCTTCTTGCACAGTCCTTGGGAATCCTTCCCAACAACGATGGCCATCTCTGGCAGGGGATTTAACAAATTCATGGTGGGTTCTGTAAAGAGAATGTTCAACCAATTGATAGAAGCCAGCCCTGACATGGACACAACCCTCGACAAATTCAGAGGAGGCTCTTATCCCCTTGTATTCTATCGAGAAGAACTAATGAGCGGGGCCACCAACTCAATCATCCCACTCCTCGTGCGGGCACGCATGGCTAATTTTGACATGAGACACATCCTAGTGGACCAGGGAAGCTCGGTGGACATCATGTACACCCAACTGTTCAGCACCCTGTGTCGTACCGTGTAAAAAATGCGAAAAGTAAGTAGCAGTACAAATTTAAGATTAAGCCATCAATTGACTTAAATCACTCAATGAAGTCTCCACCGCACTTTATTGTTTCCAAAGGGAAATAGGAAAAAGGCAAACAAAACCCACAATGAAATAAAATATTAGAGATCGAGGTACGGGGGTCAGTTATACAAAAGGAAGTTATTAGCACCCTAAGCATCTACGGTACTCCGCATGATCCACTTTGTTTCTTTTCTTTTAAAAGGTAAGTTATCTAAATACTTACTTGCTAAAGGAAAAGAATGAATGAGTATTTACAAACAAAAGAAAATGATTTTTTATTTTTTTTGCTCGCCTTGGGTCGTAAGACTTAGTGCCCACATACTGCCTCGTGCAATGGGAAAGTCAGAGCATCGTAGTTCGGCTAGAAAAGACTTGTCTGTTGGTTGATTTTAAATGAAGAGACAAGTCGTAATTTTTAGGAGAGAAATCTTAACTAACGCCCACAAGGTGTGAGAAAGATCGACCCTGCTCAGCAAGAGTGAGGGCTTGAGAACACCTCTAGTACTCAAGTGGAAAACTCGACACCTTTATAACCATGGGGATAGGAGAATGTTGCTCGACTATATATGAATCATGTCTAATCTTGGAAAAGTTTTAAAGGATAAAAGGTGCGAGAGGGCACAAAAAGGTTTGAATGAGTTAAAGTGTTTTTGTTAATTTTGAAAGATGTCAAAGTATGATTAAATGAATTGAGTTTGTTTAATGAAAATACGTTTTAAAAGAAAAGGAACTCGACGAAGTCGAGGTTTATTATGAAATCGGTTCGAGTTTAGAAAAAAAGAATAGTTTAAAAAAGATGAGAAGGTTTTGAAAATTAAATAATGGGAAGAGATAAAGAGACTATCCTATGTACATGAGGGTAAAAGAAAAAGGTAAGGAGAATCTGACCAATCCGAAGCTCATAGTTGATATAAATAAATCAATACAGCGTTCCCATCCCTTTGGATTTATATCCACAAACAGAAAGATAAGCTAAGAGTATACCAAACCTCAGGTGAAAATAAATCATAAGCCGACATCATAAAAGAAACCAAAATGTAAGATAGTACTTCAAGCATCGGATAAAGCATATTGAATCATAAGCGAGGAGCGCAAAACATGAAATAAAATCACAGACAAAGAAATCATGGATGAACCCAAGAAGAATCAGATAAAGCACAAAGGAAACTGATAAAGCTCATGGTATCAGATAAGACTCGTAATATCGAATGAGAATCCTTGCATCAAATGAAATACACAAACAAATCCAACAACACGGAGAAACTTATTCGAAATCTTAAATAAGATCTAAGAGTAAGTCACAGAACAGACATTAAATCAACTTCGAATAGATAAAAGACTTAACAATACATTCATTAATTAAAATCAAACAGTTAAGTATTCAAAATTTTTTTTGACAATGTTACGAAAACATATTCACACTATTTCAACACTAAATCCAGTACATATTTATTAAACGAAATTAAAACATAAAATAAAGCAATAGATAGATTTAAGTGATAATAATGATAAAACTTAAACATGCTGATAAAAAAAAGGATTGTTGATATGGCAATACTAAAATAAACAAACATTTTTTGACACCTTATTTTTCTCAGTGTAGTGATGCCTAAACTCTAAGTGCCCCATTATCACATTTGAAATCAAAATTGTAACACATCTTAAATCTAATTTGTATAAAAACAAAGGAATTATTTAGAAATAATTAATAGAATAAAAAAAAGTTGTCATGGAGAAAAAGAAAAAACAGAAGGGAGTATTACGAAATGGGTGTCGAAGGTTGAGGTGGAACTATGATGACAGTATCCGGTTAGCGGCAAAAATGAGTGAAGAGGAAAAAACTTAGTGGATCTTGAGGTTATGGCAGATGGAGGTTGGAGTGTATTGGGTAGATGAAAGCGGTGAAGAGGAAGTGATAGAGGTTTGTTCGCACGGAAGGGAAATTGAGAGCAAGGTGATGATTACGGTGGAAGGTCCTGCATGGAGGACAATGGAGTGTATTGCTATCGCGAGTGTGAGTGTGGAGTGGAAGAGGGAAGAGGTGTTCGGAAGGTTGTGCTATGGAGGTCCGTCGGGTTTCTTCGGAACAAAGGTGATAATGGAAGGAAATTGGAGAAAGCAAGCGAAAATTTGAAGAGGAAATGGAGGGTGAGGTCGTTGAAGGAAGATGGTAGCAGAGATTCAATTTCTGGTTTTATCTATTTGATACGAAGCTCCCGATACAAATCTCAATCTTATTATTATATACAAATCAAAATTAGGTTTTGTCATTTTTTAGATGTCCAAAAAGTCCTTCAATGATAAAAAACCGACATAAAAGTCTGAACGATTAAAAAATAATATATATAAAAATATTTTTGTTTTAATTTTCTGAATAAAAAATAAAGACCTAAAATGACTAAAAACGACAAAAAATGGACATTAATCTATCCTAAAAAATGAAATGAACACATTAAAATAAACTACATGTTACAAAGATTAATAAAAAATTAATCAAATGGTCAAAATCAAAAATAAAATAAGAATAAAAATATCAGGCTGAACAAACGCTTAGAGTTAAAAACGAGACTTCACACTGTACCGAAAAAATAAAGCGAGCATACCGACATGATCTGCACAAAATGCAGATTCATAAAACAGTTTGTAAAAGGTGAAAACGTGAAATATTTTCTCGCTACTTTTCTGCACAGTGTCGAATCGCTTTTAACGATCTGTCTGTAAAATCGAAATATTAATATTATCGACATATAATCAACTTCGAGCAATGCAAGAAACGAGTAAAGAGATAAAAATGCATGAAGTGAATATCAGGTGTTTTTCAACTACAAAATAATGAAAACTTCGATTTAAACTGAATTTTGATCAACTTAAATACGACTAATGATACAAAATGTGATGAATGAAGATATTTATTAATGATTGTGACCAAATAACCAAAATATGATAAGATAATGCGACTAAAAAATTAGGGGCGAAATTTAGGATGCAACAAATGCCCCTATTTAATTATCTTTTAGCCAGATAGGCAGAAAGTAATTGAATACAAACAGACCTGAATTTTGTCCCTGATGCGATGAGATGATAAGATATGTTATGAATGAATGCATGGACTCTTTTTGACATAAATATTTTTTGTACATGATATGATATGAATGCAAAGAATAAAGACATTATTTGGAGAAATGTGAAACAAAAGATTTATGGTAGATTGAAAGAAATGACATGGAAAGACACACTAGGGAATACATGGTATTCTTAATATCCGTCAGGGTGACAAGGATAACCAGAAATACTTGAAAAGGGGAGACTAACCCTGAAAAGGAAAGCAACGACATCCAAGAATGGCATTGAATGAGGCGAGCAACTCTGATGAAAATACAATCAGAAACATCTAGAATAACATTAGATGTAGGATGAGACCAGATCTGAAGCTACATCAGAGTCGTCCAGGAAAGACGCTGGACGGAAAAGAAACACGACATCCAATAACCTACTTTGGATGAAGGGAAAACTTAACGTCTTATAATTGGCTTTAGACGAGACAAAAGATCACAACATCCAATGATTTACTTTGAATGAGGTGAGATAAATAACCATGACATTCAATAATTGGCTTTGGATGAAGGACAACCACAATATTCAATTATTTACTTTGAATGAAGGGAAAAGGAATGATATCAAATAATTGGATTTGGATAGCAACAAAGATCACGACATCCAATATTGGCTTTGGATGGAAGCAAAAGTTCACGATATCCAATATTTGTTTTGGCCAGCAACACAGATCGTGACATCCAATATTAGCTTTAGATGGAAGCAAAAGATCATGGCATCCAATATTGGATTTGGATGAAAGAAAAGATCATGACATCCAATATTGGCTTTGGATGAAAGAAAAGATTATGACATCCAATATTGGCTTTGGATGGCATGGAAAAACATGATATCCAAGATTAGCATTGGTTTAAAGTGAGAAGTAGCACACCCAATATTACCATTGGACAGAAAAGGAAAATAACAATAAATCCAATATTAGCTTTGGAATAGAAACAACACACCCAAAATGTGATGAATGAAGATATTTATTAATGATTGTGACCAAATAACCAAAATATGATAACATAATGCGACTAAAAAAATTAGGGGCGAAATTTAGGGTGCAACACCCTGTAACTGAATGAGACTCATCTAACCCTGTACATAGGCTTAGGGGTTCAATGGACCCGTCACTAAACCCTAGGGATACATCAAGATAATTATTACTTTCTGCAGACGGGTAACGACCTGGGCCATCAGGGCCCAATTTCTAGTTGTGGACTTCCCATCACTCTACCAATGAATCTTCGGAAGGCCCATTCTAGCCGAGCTGATTGCGGTGCCCTCTGTAACACCCCAAAAATCTAGATTAATTATTTAATTAATTTAGTATGAATATCAGTTATTGTTAATGAATATATGAATTATGGCGAATTAGTCGATGTGGTGTATTTCTATGAGTTGATAGATTTTGTGATGTGATGCATTTCTTGATGATGAGATGTCTTAGAAATTATAGAAGCTGAGGTGTTAAGGTTGTATGACCAAAACTATAGAACCACGAGGGTGTGGTGATGAGACTAGTAATCATATTATTATTATTATTATTATTATTATTATTATTATTATTATTATTATTATTATTATTATTATTATTATTATTATTATTATTATTATTATTACTATTATTAATATAGATACAAGTTATTTATAATATTAGTAATTAAAAATAAGGAAGGGCAATATGAGGTTATTGTTATTAGGGGTGTAAAGAGATAGAGATAATCATTATTCTCAATCGATCGTAGAAACCTGCGAAGAGGGAAAACGAGCGCTTTTGGGAGAAGAGGAGAAAAGGAAGAACCTATGGCTAAAGGGAAGACTCCATTGGAGAAGGGAAGAGAACTCAAAACCTAAGGTAAGGGTGGGGTTATAACTCTTTAAGGGTTTATATGATGGTGGATATTGGTAGATTTAGATATTGTAATTGTATTTTCATCTTTATGTGGATTGTGTGTTTGCTGTGAATTGTATTTGTGATGATTGATGATGATGATTTGGTGTGAAAACTTTGATTTTGATGATAAATTGATCCTAAATGATGAAGATGAATCATGCATGTTTAGTAGAATAATTTCCTCTATTTGGTGTTGAAAATTGGTGATTTTAGGTATTTTGAGAAGAGGAGTCACAATCTGTTACACTGCAAAATTTTTGAAAAATAGCGCAGGGTAACTGGTTACCACCAAGAGGGAAACCGGCTACCGCATGGAAAAATTGATTATGGGAAGAAATTTTTTGAAGGGTAACCAGTTACCATAAGTGGGTAACTGGGTACCCAGTGCTTTGGCAGAATGGGTGTTTTTGAGAAAATAACAGTAACCGATTACTATAATAGGGTAATCAATTACGGCGAGAAGTTTTAAAAATCCAAAAGTTATTGTTTTACAGTAACCGGTTACCACTGAGACAATGATAAATTTTCTGAAAAACTTTGAAAACTCATAACGTTTTAATCGGGTGTCCGTTTGACGTGCCATTTGAATTTATGAAAGGCTAAAAATATTTTCTACAATGTCGTAATAATTTTGATGGCAGTAGACTAATATTTTATTGGAAGATTTTTGATGTGTGCTTATTTTGTGCGTGTTGTAATGCAAAATGTTGCGGTTGAATGTATCAGTATTGTATAAACGATGTACGAAGGATTTTGCATGATGTATTGCATGATAATGATGATGACGATGGCCTATATTTGCGAGACATTGATGAGTATGAATAATCAATGTAAATTAAGTTTTTTCATGTCAGTGTCGCATGCATTCATGAAGCAATGGCCTGTATTGGCGAGCGATGGCCTGTATTGGCATTATGATGTTGCTTCCCTAAGTTGGCATTAATATGATGATCGTTTTACCCTATTGATACCGCATGCATATAATTAGTGAAGTTGGTCTCATTGCATTTATGATGTTGTTGATGAATAATATGTGATTGGTTTGACTGTTGGGTGTGATTGTTGAGACAATTTCATGTATTGGTGTGGATGCATGAAGTATTAACATTATTATCATGTATGTCATACTTTACCTGTTCATTATCATATATTACTTTATATTGTTATGATATCTCACCCCTTATGTTCGAATGTTGCTTCCACGTGGATAACACGGAGGTGACAAAGATTAGATTTACTTGAGATGGAGATGCGCCTCGTATTGCGTAGATTAAGTCGGGTCTTGCTCTTATACGTAACACTGAGGATGGACGTTTGTTTACTTATTTAGTTGTTACTTGTTATTAAAAATACTTTGAGAGCATTATAGACTCTCTTTTACTTTGTGAGACGTTGTATATGAATTGTTATTGGAGTTGGTGACTAAACATATTCTGAAATATTTTACGTCACAATTAATAAAGTGAAGTAGAATATCTTTATAATCATGTTGCCGGTTCATCCAAAAATAGTGTGTTATGTATCCATTTGTTAATGTTTGAGCAATTTTTGAGATGATGAAATGTGACATCCTATTTTGACGTTGATTGGAATTTTTAAATTACTCTGATTTTATCAAATATGTGATAGGAAAAATAGGGTGTTACACCCTCCACCGTGCATCTCAAGATGAAGTACTACACTGCTAAAGGCTTGGTCACCACCCTCCACGGGGATGTCCGTGCCACAAGAAGGTGTTTTGAAGCTTTGACCAAGGGCCTGAGTTCCATCAATGCTCAATCTTAAACGGCCAGCGGATTCGCTCTTCCCTCCAGCTTCGAGGAACCCAGATCACTAACACGGGTTGACACCATTAACCTAGATAGTCGCTTATTTAAGGAGAACCTCACAGAGTGCAATAGAAACCTACCACAACAGCACACACCGAGGAGCCTTCATATATCATGAAACCAATCCCAGACAGAGATTTTGAGATCACCCCCTTCAGGAGCGACCCCTCCAGAGGAGTGAAGATTGGCGCCGTCCTCCCCGACTTAGCGAAGAGACAACTAAAAGCATGCCTAAAGGAGAATGCTGGTCTATTCACTTGGAGTGCAACTGAAATGCCCGTACTGGATCCAGAAATAGCTTGTCATCATCTG